CCGAGTGTTAATTAAGAATTCTCATTCTCAAGAAGGGAATCAGGAAAGTGCGTGATGGTGGCCTTCAATCAGGGTTTATATTCGAGAACTCAATTTGGGGGAAAGGGCAGAGAAAATGTGAGAAAAACAAGTATCTGATAAATGAAAAGACAATTCTGATATCCCTTTTGATCGCACTCTAGCAGAGCCTCAGTATGTTGTCAGAACGAATTGAGATGTCAGAGGAGACAGGGTGCGGTGGCTCACCCCTATAATCCCAGCACTTTGGGAGGCTGAAGCAGCAGGGTTGCTTAAGGCCAGGAATTTGAGACCAGCCTGGGCAACACAGATCCCATCCTTACCTAAAATAAAATGGCCCAGTTGTGTTGGTTCGATCCCAGCACTTTGGGAGGCCGAGGTGGGAGGATCGCCTGAGGCCAGGAGTTTGAGATCAGCCTAGAAAACACAGCGAGACCTCATCTCTGCAAAAAAATCAGTCAGGCACGACAGTCCCACCTATTTGGGAAGCTGAGGCAGAAGGATCACCTGAACCCAGGAGGCTGAGGCTGTGGTGAGCTGTGATTGTTGAGTGGCACTCCAGCCTGGGTGACAGAGTGAGATCCCAACTCAAAAAAACAGGTATCCGGGGAATTAAACCAGTACTGAGCGCAGGGCCCTAAGCTGGAAGGGGTCTTAGAGTTCACCTGTTCTACCAGCTCTATGGATGATATATCGGAGGCCAGGCCCATAGTAGGCAGGTAGCAGAGCTGGGTGTGGAATTCAGGTTTCCTTACTCCTACTTCGGTGTACTCTTAGTCTTATCCTCCAGAACGAAGTACTCAACACTGGCCTTCAGAGTATTTCAGTGCTGTAGGCTTTCTGCACACGTGTCACATACATCTGATCGTCGTTACTCACGAGAGTCCCGTTCCTCCAAGCCTCTGGTCGCATTTTCCTCTACTGATCAGCACATACCCGTGCGCTGACTGTGCTGTTTAAACGCGCCTTACTCAATAATATTGTTGATTCATGATGATTGAACTCAGGTAACACAGCAGGTAAGCCATGGCTGGAGGAAGCTCATCGACCCCAGGCCCACCCACCATGGCCTTCCTGTGCTCAGGACCACTGGGCTGTCTGTCAGCACTGGCTGGGAGACATTTTAAATTCCCAAGCAAGCTGGGCTCGGTGGCTCAGCCTGTAATCCCGCGCTTTGGGAGGCCGAGGTGAGTGGATTGCCTGAGCCTGCAGGTTCGAGACTCGCCCGGGCAACTTGGCGAGACCTCATCTCTACAATAAATAAAAAAAAAATAAAAAAAAAAATTAGCCGGGCGTGGTATCGCGCGTTTGTAGTTCCAGCTACTTGGAAGGCTGAGACGGAAGGATCGCGGGAGCCCAGCAGGTCGAGGCTGCGGTGGCCGGGAGCGGCCACTGCTCTGCAGTCTGGACGACAGTGGACGAGCCACTGAGCCCGGCCTATTGTGTATTTTCTACTTAGAAAATCCCTAGATGCACACATCTAGGGCTATACTTCTTCTTTCCTTTGTCACACAGATTCAGGGACTCTTAAGTTGTAATATGCTCAGGCCTGTCATCCCAGCACTTTGGGAGGCCTAGGCGAGAGGATTGCCTGACCCTAGGGGTTTGAGACCAGCCTGGGCAACATGGACCTCGTCCCTACAATAAATCAAAAAATTAGCCAGGTGTGGTGGTGCATGCCTGTAGTTCCAGCTACTTGGAAGACTGAGGTAGAAGGATCACCTGAGCCCAGCAGGTCGAGGCAGTGGTGGCTGTGAACGTGCTATTCACTGCACTCCAGCCTGGGTGACAAAGTGAGACTCTGACTCCAAGGAAAAAAAAAAAATGCAGAAAAGTAAATATAATCTCAAACTGCTCTAAAAAGTAAAAGAAAAGTAGCAGGGTATACATTGCAAAGTATTAATCTACTGATCATGTATTTGTTGCAAATAATTTTAATTTTGCTCATTGTGCTTTTTCATACTTTTAAAACATGCTACAAAAAAAGTGTGCTACTTTAGTGAATAAAAAGCCAATATCAACCCTATTTTGAAGAGGTAAGCAAGACTTTTGCCCTATGTTAAGCCATACCCAGAACAGGTCAGAATCTGCCCTTTCTGGAAAAACAAAGTTTCTCTAGAAAATACATCGACTTTGAACTTTAAGAATCCTCCTCATTCTTCTTCTTAAACAATCTATCATCCCTTCATCTTCTTTTCTGTCTTTTTTCCCTCTTCTGCTTTTCTGCCTCCCCGTTCCCTGCAAGCAGCCACAAGCACTATCAGGTCGACCTGCTGCCACACTGGTTTCCTCCTCGACCAGAACCTTCTTAGGGTCCACAAAGGCCTAGCCGCACAGCTGAGCGATAGCACCCAGCGGAGCCTGGAGACGAGAGCTGAGGCAGAGGAGAGAGAGTCGCTGGGAAAGCCTGACTCCTGAGGAGACCAGAGGACGAGCCCCAGAGGTCCCAGCAGCGCAGGTGGGCAGGACAACCTCCAGGCAGGAAGCAGGGGAGGGTCTCCTCAAAGCCGTGCAAGGAGAGCAAAGATGACCTTGACAGCATTCAGACCCAGCCCCTTCGACTTGCTGCTCCTGGGAGGCAAGGTCATCTGTTAGTCGTTAAGCAGGGAGGGGTCTGGACAGGGCTCTGGGAGAGCGGGGAGGGTATGAAATAACAGGTCATGAGAGCAACAAGCAAGAAGCATGTCCAAGACGGAGTGAAGAAGGCTGGGGCGCGCCAAGGGCCCAGCTGCATGGGAGCCTTCCTCTGGCGCCTCTCCACAGTCAAGGCGGTCTCCTCAGCACTTCTGAGCAGACGGCCCGTTCCTTCCCAGCCGCTTTCTCTCCTGTGTTGCCGCCTGAACTTTGCTTCCTTCTCTTCCCAGCCAGCCTGCACTCCAGTCCCGTCTCTTGAAACGCTCAGTGGCCAGCATCTTCCAGCCCCCTCCTCTACGGCCTTCTCAAACCCTCGGTCACTCAGAACGAAGACGCGTGTCTAGCGTTGAGTCTGGGCCCATGAAACTGCCATGCTTAGAGGTCGAGCATGGTTGAATATCGGGACTTCATGAGGGATGGCGGGATAGAGTTGCCAGCTCCGGAACGCTGAGAGCTCTGCAGGCGTGTGTGAGTGCTTGGAACTGGCGGACCGTCCCTGGAGGCATCGGGCCTAGTTAAAGGCAGCTGCTGGGGCAGTCTGGCTGGGGGCTCCCCCTTCCCGGCCTGCGGGAAGGAAATATCTCAAGCCTGATTAGGGCTCTAGCAGGAAGCCTATTCTAACATTTCATATTCTGTATTGCTTTTTCCTGGACAGGCACAGTGTAAAGTTGTCAGGGAGACAAAGGAACTCAAAACAAGAAGGATGGGAGAAGAGGGCTCGGGAGGAGCAGGTTTGAAAAAGAAAAAACACACACCACGAGGCCTCGATGAGAAACGACAAATGTAGCCGTTGTTTTAACAAAGATTAAAGGAAAATATCGAAACAGATGTTTTTTCATTTCAGGCTCCAGCTTCACTTTCCATTTCCTCTCTAAGTTTCCCAGTCACCCTTCTCCAAGTGTCCCATCACCCCTCCCCAAGTCCCAAGGTTGTCCTACGTAAACACTGAGTGTCCTGAGATAACCAAGCCACCCTACCTGTGAAAGTTCGCCTGTCAAGAAGTTAGGAAAGCTTGGGAGGGTAAAAAGACTGACGTGCAGATTATTAGCAGGACTGCCTCCAAACGCTTCGGATGTGAGCTGAAAGGAGCCCTGCGGTGGCACCTGAGAGATGCTCTCATTCCTGAGCAAGGACTAGATGATACTAGAATAACAGTAACAGAAAAAGAGGTAATCATACGAACAACAATGTCGTAAACAACTTTGGCTGAACACTTAGAACACATTCTTGGAAAGAATTATCTCAAGCCACTCGTGAGATCAGTTTATTCTGTCCAGAAAACTGAGGCTCAGAGGTCGTCTTGCTGAAGAACAACCAGCTAGGAAGACCGTGATTCACACCAGAGTCAAGTGACTGCAGAACCAGTGTCCATCCCCATCTCATTACTCAAGAACCGCTGGGCATGCCTTTGTGGCAAAAAAGGGCCCCTACAAAACAGGATGGGTCCTCCAGAAGCTAGAAGTTCGCTTTGGAGAGCAGAAGAGAGTCCCACAGGCCTTCTTAAACCAGAGACACACCTCCCTTCCTGAGACCATCACGGCCGAAGCCTAACGAAAGTATCTCTAGTAAAGCAAAACTAGAACCCTCTCAGGGACCCTAAAGCAGCGAGGCTCAAGAAGAGAGCCTTGGGGCACACTGGAGGGGGGGAGCCCTAGAGCGAGCTGTCGGGAGCGCACGAGACCCCGCCTGCCTAGTTCTCAGGCAAGCAGACGCCATCGCCCCTGTCCTCAAAGGCCAAGTGAGCAAGTGAGGTCATGCTGCTTGGGGAGAGGAGTAAACTCGACTGTGGTTTCGCTCTGAGATGCTTTATTACTTTTCCTTTCCAGGTCTTCGTTCTTCCTCTCGATTTTGAGTCTTTTGCCCTCTTTAAGATCAAAAGTGTTCTCGCCACCCCCGTTTTGCCCCGGCTCTGCGAGAGGCATTTTATAGCCTCCCTCCCGCCTGCAGGTTTTCCCAAGACCCTTCCGCTCAGACAGACACTATTTTCTTACAAAGCCGGAGCTTTTCAGAGTGCTGGAAAATGATGCTGGATTTGAATTGGCAGATCCAAGGGGGCAGAGAAGCAGGGGGAGGGGCAGGGAGGAAAGGAAGGGTCTCCTGTCAGAATAATCTTGAATTTGAACCAACAGCACGGCACAAGTTCAGCACTTTCATAGATAGTCTTAGCAGTTCTACAAGACTTTTTTTCTCTCTTCCCAAGCGTGCTTTCAACAGCCACGCTGTTTGCAGAGGCACTGAAAGGCGTACTGTGTGCAGAAGGGACAGGGATGGGCCACAGCGCAGGACGGGGAAGCACAAAAGCTGCTTTATGTCAGAGTGTGTTTGCCCTGGCGGGAGCCGAGACCTACCTGTACGTAGTCCACGCTGCGTCCCAGGGCTCGGAAGGCCGTGTACATGACCTCTCTCTTTCCACCCCACTTCTGCATGACGCAGACGCTCTTGTTGGACAAGACCAGCTGGGTGACGAGCTGCGCGCTCTCTCGGTGCGACTCCTCCGTCTCCCCGGGCCCCTTCTCGTGGAAGTTGTTCTTCCAGACATAGGTGGCGGCCTTGTCCCTGCCCATGACCTCGCTGAAGATGTCCATCATGTAGAGGTCGTCCTCCGAGTTCCCGTCGATGACCATGACGACCTTGATCCCGGGGTAGGTCAGCCTCTTCACAGACTGCAGGCACTTCCGCAGGTAGTCGGGGTCCTCCTGGTAGGCAGCGATGCAAAGGGCCACGGTCTTGTTCAGCTTGATGGGCGTCTCCAGGGACTTCTTCATCTTCCGGTGCTCCAGGAAGGCAAACAGGCTCTGGATGACGAGGTGAGATGCTAGGAAGGCGCCGTACAGCCCGAAGGAGAAGTAGTAGTTGTCTGTCTGGACGAACTGGTAGCCGACGATATACGCAGCTGTGATTCCAAGGAGGAGGGAGACTCCAAAAAGCGTGGTTCCGATTATCCTCAGGATGCACAGAAACCTCTCACAATGCATCTGCAACAGAACCAAACGACACTCTCAGTTAACCGCCACTGTCCAGGCCTGTCCTACCCACAGTGCCACAGGCAGGCTGCTGGTGGCAGCTCTCAGCAGTCCCACTCGGAGCGTCCAACTTGCTGCGTGGCCTTCTGCACCTCGGTTTGCTCACTGAAGAGGTCGGGACGGGAATGCCTCTGGCACACCCCAGAGGGTGGCTTCAGGACCAGACAGGGTGGTCGCACAGGGTCTACTGGACAACCAGAATGCCTTCAAAATGCCCCGACGCATCGCTCCTGGTGGGTGGGAGCATCTATCCAGGCTGCACGCCAGAATGTGGGCAGAGCCAGGCACAGAGCCTGCGTTTCCTGCCCCCTGAGGCCGTTCCTCTGCCTGCACCGCGCACTCCCCTTGGCGCCAGGCGCTGACCTGTGGAAAATCCACAGGAGGTTTGGCTACATTTCTCGCGGGACTTCACCTCCTCTCCAGGGCAGACCCCTGGGCTCACACCCTTCCCACACGTCCGGCTGAGAGTAGGGTCAGGACATCTGGATCCTAGCATCAGCTACTCTGGACTTTGAGAGAGAGGCCATACCTCGCTGTGCCTCGGGTTTTGCTTCCTCTGTTCAATAAGGGATGTTAGACTGGACTATTTCCCAAGTCCCTGCTGACATTAAAACTCCTCCATCCCAGCCGGGCTCGGTGGCTCAGCCTGTCATCCCGTGCCTTTGGGAGGCTGAGGAGAGTGGATTGCCTGAGCCCGTGGGTTCAAGACCCACCTGGGCAACTTGGCAAGACCTCATCTCTACAATAAATCAAAAAATCAGCCGGGCGCGGTAGCATGCGCCTGTAATTCCGGCTACTTGGAAGGCTGAGGTGGAAGGATCGCCGGGAGCCCAGCAGGTCGAGGCTGCGGTGGCCGGGAGCGGCCGCGGCACTCCAGTCTGGGCGACAGAGTGAGACTCCAACTCAAAAAAAAAAAAAAAAATCCTCCACCCCTAGCAGTTCTGCAGAAACCTATCAGGGTTCCAGTAACTCTGAAAGTCACCCTTTTGTTCTGAGGTCTGTCTCCTCCATCTTCCACCAGCAACACTAGACAGTTACATACTGGGGATCAGGAACCTTACTACAGCACAATAGGAACACAATAAATGTCGGTAGAAATAATGAATATATTAAAGAAGAAATAAGCCAGGTGGCTTATGCCTATCATCACAGCACTCTGGGAGGCAGAGATGAGGATTGCCTGAGCCCACGGGTTCAAGACCAGCCCGGGCAACTTGGCGAGACCTCATCTCTGCAATAAATCAAGAAAAACTAACCAGGTGTGGTGGCACGTACCTGTAGTTCCAGCTACTTGGAAGGCTGAGGTGGAAGGGCCACCTGAGCCCAGCCGGTCGAGGCTGTGGTGGCCGTGAGCATGGCCCTGCATTCCGGTCTGGGTGACAGAGCGAGACTCTGGCTCAAAATAAATACATAAAGAAAAACAAAGAAGAAATAGCATCGCGCTTACTTCCAGCAGGTGAGTTTCCAGCCTGTTAAACGTTGGAGCACAGTAGACCTGAGATGCCTTTCCACTCAATAACAGCCAGTGCTGCACTCATCCCTAAACACTGTGTATCTTCTGCACAAAGTTTCTACAGCCCAAGGAGAGGGAACCCATTTTCCTGTATTTCTCATGACATTTCCAATGCTGAGCACTGAAGCCATGCTTAGCAAACCTTTTTAATTTTATTTCTCCCCCCGGAATTTCTTTGTTTCTCCTCTTCTCAGAATGAACTATGATAAGGGACACAATTGGTATAAAGACAGCCTCTCCATCTTCATTCCTTCCCATCAAGTTGGGGGGGGTCTTCTCATTATCTACAAACATGTAGTACTTAATCCTTTTCTTTAATCCAACTAATTTTTGACAGCTGAACACATCTATTTTAAATGAAAACTTAGGCTAAGGCATCATCTCTGCAAAGCCTCTTGCCTGACGTGCTATACAGAGCCTCCCACGAACCAAAACCACCAGCCTTGACCCAGAGGAAGGAAGTCACAGACCAGCTGGGAATACCGGCCTCGACACTCAGGCAAGGAAGGCATGTACCAACCCTGAAACGGCCTCACGCCACGTGGAAAGGAGCCCCCGCCACCCAGCCATGCCAGCCTTGCCCCATGTGAAAGGGAGCCATGCGCCAACTAGGAATACCGCCTGGCACGTGCAGAAGGAGTCCCTCACCCAGGAATACCAGGCACGCACCACATCAACCAGCAATACAGCTGTGTGCCATGTAGAAGGGAGCCACCCACCCACCAGGACACAGGCCTTGCCCCACCAGAAATACGGGCCGTATGCCACATGGAAAGGAGCCACCCACCCACCAACAACCCGGCCTTCGTGCGTATGGAACGGAGCCATGCACCAGCCATGAAATGGGTCTTAGACCACGTGGAAGGGAGTCACACACCACCCAGCCATGCCAGCCTTGCCCCATGTGGAAGGGAGCCATGCGCCAACTAGGAATACCGCCTGGCACGTGCGGAAGGAGTCCCTCACCCAGGAACACCAGGCACGCACCACATCAACCAGCAATACAGCTGTGTGCCATGTAGAAGAGAGCCACCCACCCACCAGGACACAGGCCTTGCCCCAACAGAAATACGGGCCGTATGCCACGTGGAAGGGAGCCACCCACCCACCAACAACCCGGCCTTCGTGCGTATGGAACGGAGCCATGCACCAGCCATGAAACGGGTCTTAGACCACGTGGAAGGGAGTCACACACCACCCAGCCATGCCAGCCTGGCCCCATGTGGAAGGGAGCCACACAACAGCCCCAAACCCGGCCTTGATGCACACGGAAGGAAGTCACACACCAGCTAGGATTCCCACCTTGCACACGTGGAAGGGAGCCACCCTCCAGCCAGGAATACTGGCCTTACACCCTGTGGACAGGAGCCAACATCACCCAGGAATCCAGGCCTCGCACCCTGTGGAAGGGAGCCACTCGCACACCAGGAACACCACACTCACCCTCTTACGTTCGCCAGAAAGGCTTTCTGGGTTTTCTGTGTGTTCACCCTGCATGCGTCTGGGGGCTCCGTTTACTCCGCTGCCACAAGCAGGTGACGCAGAGCAGCCCAAGGCCCAGGGTTCTGGCTCTGGGATCTCCTTTCCCCTCATTAAGTGGACACTCAGAACTGGTCAAAGGCCCACCTCAGGGCTGTGGCAAAGGACAACGCGAAATGGCGTTTGGGGGTGCTGCAACACCAGAAACGTACAGCAATCCAAAGGGCCAGTTAACCAGAAAGCTAAAGCACAAAGCAAATACGGCATTGGTTTTCTCCTCTAGCGGCTGAACAAAGCACCACGGTGTGCCACATGGGCGCCCGAGGTAAGTGCCCATGACCTATGGGAGTCCAGCCCACGGGACGTGGACGGCTGAGCTCCTGCGACAGGCGGGCAGGTTCAGCATCCTTGTTAATCACCCGCCCCGGGATGCTGGAAACTCCCCTGCCGGGCATTCACCGAGGCCTAGAGGTGCTGGGAGCAGGCTGGGAACTCGCCCTTTCCAAGGTGTGAGTCATCCTCACAAGAGTGAAACATTTCAAGGGGACTGGAACGCTTGGCCAGGGAGGAGCTTGAGCGTGTGTTCAGCTTGTGTTTGAAATCACAGAGCCGGCAAGAGAACCGCCCGTTTCTCTTCCATTATTCACATTTTCCTTGCTTTTATCAGCACACGTGGACACGGAGAGTGTTGACACAGCATCTGCTGGCCATGGCCGAGGTGGAGACGCCCTCTTACATCACAGGCGGCTACAGACGTCCTGAAGCCTGGGAAAAGTTAGGCGTGAGCTGCAGCGACATGGCCAGGACCGAGCCTTTCCATGTGTGCGAGAGCTCCGCGGAGTCTGGCATGACACACAGCCCCTCACAAAGGCAAGGGTGGGGGCACGTCCCAGAGGCAGCTCTGCCCAGGAGTACATGGATCTCTGGAGTGACGCACAGGACGCATGTCTTTGCAATCTCCACTGGGCAGTGTTCTGGACACGGGCGCCCCATGTGTGAGACTTTAAGACTGTCGCAGGTTCAAATACTCCCATAAGCACCTTCTCTGGTCAGGCACACGGCCGTGTTGCTCACTTGGGAAGGAGGGTTCGCCCAGTCCTGGGTCATAATGTCTAGCACCAGACACAAAGATGATTTAGAAACCTATGTCCTATACATACTTAAAATATGAAACTTGGACTTTTTTCCCCCAGTGTCAAACTCTGGCCTATTAATCAACATCAATTATTTACTAATCTCCATTCTCTGCAGAATCTTAGGCCAAACCAAGTGTTAAGGAATGGCCTGATACACTATAACGTAAGTGCCACAAAGTCCGTGTGTGTGTGTGGGGGGGTGAGAGCCTGCCGTACACGCATGCCTAAAGGCACAAGGAGCACCAGACTTGCAACTTGTCATTTCTAAGGCACGAGCCGTCCTCACGAGAGTGAAAGATACACACGTTTCATCTGCCCCCAGGACATCACAAAACACCGCCTGGCCTATAGCTGGTGTTAAGTCCGAGCTGAATGAATGGGTGCAACTGCGATCATCACCGTCATCCCTATTGCGGTGGCAGCAGTCAGCAGCTACCCCTCGTTTACCGGGCTTCCGGCCGTGGGAGCCGGTTTTGTTTGTTAACAGCCTGATCTGAGTTCATCTTAAGGATTTCCGGTGGAAACGTGATTGGCCTCATGGAACAGACAGCGTCTGCCTAAGATGAGGAGATAAAGACTGAGTTCTTTGTGGTTTCTGAGCCGGAGTCTCGCTGCCACTCGGGCTGGAGTGCGGTGGCGCACTCACGGCCACTGCAGACTCAACCTGCTGGGCTCAGGCGATCCTTCTGCCTCGGCCTTCCAAGTAGCCGGAACTACAGGTGCGTGCCCCCACGCCACCATCTCCATGTCTCCATCATAGTCACCTGAGAACGGACAGCATGTCTTGCTGGCATCCCCTCTTCCAGCATCATGTCCTCCTGCAATA